ACCTAGAAACATTTTTTAATTGATCTTTTGAAAGAGAACTAAATTTCTTTGTTACTAAGACTGATATATTCCCCTACTTTTCGAATATCAGCTGAAATATTTGCCCTTCACAAATATGTGTCACTGGTTCACATGAATGGCACAGGTGGGCTGGTCCAATATGGCGCCACAACACTTTTACAGTTTGAAAACAACTGCCGATTGATGCCAACTAAGCTTTCCAGCACTCCGCAGTTGGTTCAGAAATAGCGAGTTGTTTGGAAGCATCGGCTTACAACTGGCTGGCCCCGAGTCATTGTACAGACCAAATATGTATCGTTACGCCACTACGATTCCGTCTAGGAGTCGATCAAGTGGGCGCATCTCGGAACAAGATTGATCACTGTCAGGAACTTCCTCCTTTGATCAGTTTACCGTGTCGAATGCACCATATCATTACTCAAAGCCCTACAGCGAGTGGGAAACACCAAGGCTACCGTTAGACAACGGTACAATGGACTGATAAACGACGTCTCGGCAACTCCGGCTGCTCAAGGATGACCCAAAAATAAGTCTTTCAGTCTCGCCAGACAAATTACGTTTTGCCAGAGTAAACTTGGAACGAATGATGCCACAAGTACACCGAATTAGCACCGATTCAGTAAATTAGAACGTCACCAAGCAAAATATGCGTTAGCAGAGATGGAATATGTGGAAAACTATTAAAAAACCAAATCTGGTCCCTCCCTAAAACTCCCAAAACCTGAACGCTCTCAAACTCATTACTTCAATCATGTGATGCCAGCACAATATATCAGGCTCGGTAAACATATAGCGTGTGTTGTACATCTCATATCATCCAATGAGGGCCATCTATAATTCCAGGAATTCGTCATTCAGAGACGCTTAAGTTATTTGTCGATGAACGGGCGCACCATTTGAGAAACGTCATTCAGTGTGAAAAAAAAGGACGAAAATGATTTCCAGAGAATGGCATGCATAAAACACATCTGCGTAGGCCCATTCGATTAGCAAACCCTAGCGCACGCAATGCATAAAAACAAGAGCGATGATCCTAAAATTGATCTCAATATACGTCTCAATTACATCGGCTCAAAATATCAGCGCACAGCTACTGAAAAAAGTGGTGATGTCATCTATACTCGACTATAGAATCAGGTTTCCCCTAATAAGATTTGATGCCTCGTATAAATCAAGCAAACCCACTCAATACTCTATTTAAAGATTTCCCATATGTTTTGAATGCTCATTGCTCTTTTCAAAAACTTTTCAAAAATCGATGATAATATTAAAAATTTAAATTTACAAAAAGATCGGTTGAAGAGCAATCAGCACAAGAAACTTATTGGAAATATTAAAAACGAGCACTGAGTGGGTGAGCTTTGTTTACACGAAGCCATGCGATAGCCTGAACACCATCACCTTTGAAGAAAAGGAATTTCGAGGAAGCCAAAACGCCAGCGTCCCCGGGCCTCGAATCCGTAAGCAGACCTTCCCGCAACTCATTTACAAAAAGCTACTTTAGTAAAGCACTCAGCCACGAGGGACAACTCAGAACTAATTTCCTTCAGTCAGAAGACCCCTTTGGGATTCCTCTCAACATTCCCTTTCCCTTCTTCTAGGAACATACCATTACCACCTTCATTTCTGCAAAACGAAACACGTGTTATCTCCCTCACACCGTCTTTTCAACCAATGTTCCTTTCGAACTCCCACATACTCCAGGGTCTATGAAGTACAAGAGACGGAGGCATACTCGGAAGAAGCTCATGCAAAAAACTCTCTAGCACGGTTTTTCCGTGATTAAAAAAAAACTGCAGCTATAGTCCCTGACCAGTTCCTGCAACCACCCCACACACTCGTCTATGCAGATCCTTTCAATCTTGTCACGCTGTTCCGCGCGATAAATATTCCGACAACAAGCTAAAGATCGGATTATGTACAACAACATCCGTGCAAACTGGCACACCGCTGTCATCGAGACTTATTTTGCAGAGAGAATTATCGAAAAACAGTTGTGAGGTTATCGCCTTCCTATTTGAACTGGTTTGTGGATTAGTTTGCACAGATATGATGCATTGAAGCTACTCGAATCGAAGAAAACCAAACCTTCAGCGCCATGAAGGCTAAAAATAGCAGCCAGTCCTTTTTCGACGCCTATCAACTTTCCATTGAGCGGTATTTCAGCTTTCATTAGGGCTATCCTTAATTCTTTACCGTTTTTCTGCCTATTCCGAGCGAAAAGCTTGGCCCCCATTTACGTCAAGATGCTTCGACGACACCTATTGGTTGTAACGTCACATGCGCTCCGCATCGATAAATAGTCGACGCAGCGTATTTCAACGAAACCGCATCGCTATAGGAATATCGCCGACCAAAGTGCCATTAAAAACTAGTAAAACCGCATACGTCAGCGTTCAAAATTAGACGATCTATGTGATACCGACACTCGTCGACGATACCACCTGACTAGACAATCAGTGTCTTGATCTCACCGTATAAAACAACTCTGCAGCGCAGCGCTGTTTGATGAGAAAAAGTCAAACACGACAGCTTGCAAAGCAAGATTGAGCACATCTATGAGATCTCTATCATTGGATCAACGCTTACCAAATCAATTCACCCATCAGGGCCCATGGTGGCTACCCTTAAGCTCCGCCACTGAAATGAGAGCCCTTTCGACGGAAACGATATCATGACAGCTGCCTTGTTTAAATTAACCCTCATCCCTCTTTCATGTTAATGGGGAGCTGCACTCCACTGAGGCGGTAGGGGGCTCTTTTTACGGTAGCTTTGGGGAGAATTACAATGAAAACCCTTAAAAATAATTAGATTTGAACCACCCCAAGGGTAAATAGAAGATGGAAAACCAAGAACTACTGGATTCCAAGACTCTTTTTTCCCTGATTATTAAATTTCGGCCATCGATAATACAACCATTAACTAGCATTTGGTCTGCTATCCATTGCTAAACGGCATTCCCTCACTAAGGAAGACTTTCTACTGACCGGATGGTGAAAAATGCCTTAAACTGCGTCAAAGGATAACCTTAACGAATTCTGAAGAAATCAAGAACCGCTAAGTTCCCGTCCATAAGAAGTCTGGCGACTTGCCAAACGTTCAGCATTGAACCCTTGTACTTTCGCTATTTCCACCTTCCCCGATAAACTCACAACAGTCGTTCGTCAAACCCATATCACAACAATGTTTCGAATAATGCACAGCTTTGCACTTTCACCCTCACCCATAATTCCTGGAAATGTCTGCCTGCCATCCCACAATGCGTGACCTTGCTCTATCGTCATTCGTCTGCAAAAAACCGGGTTTTCATTAACTATCCCTATCCCACTTGCCAGAGCCATAGAAACCTGGCCAAAAGACGAAAGAAACCTAGCCATTCCCTTTGCCGAAATCCTGAACAACGTATTGTTGTGAATTGACCCCAAAAACCCTACTTCTAGTTTCCAACGACGGTTTGTTCCCTCGAAAAGACGTTTTCTGGAGCCAGTACGATCGCGGAACTGCATGCTAACGCAACTGCTGCTCAAACAAAATCGCAACATCCGAAAGACTAAAAACTGACACGTGATGAAGTGCATGCACGACATCCGACCCGTTTCCGTATTTCCTGTCCCAAGGAAAGACTCCTCTAGCCATGAATCATTGAATTAAACACTGACGCTGCAGAACCGGCCACCAATGTTGCTATTTCGATGATTTCATTGGCCTTTGATTGTTTCATACTTTCATTCTACATTCAACATTTCGTAACCATTAATGCCCGAATATGAAAAACCAAATTATAAGACCTGCTCTCAACTCTCACGAATAAAAATCTCCTCAATCATTCTTCACCGAACCCTCGCTAATGTCCTAGTCGAACACCATTCCGAACAGATCAGCAACACCTATGAATCCAAACACGTCAGTCAATCATTTTCAACGTAACTCATTTCTTTCACGCCATAAAATAAACTATTAACGTCGCAGTACGACATAACCACCTCCTCAACAGACACCAACACATTCACGAGAAAATTAAAGCAGTAAATACTATACTCCATGTAGCATACAGAATTCTATACAAAATTTTGGGGGAACGTGGTATAGTGCAATCGGCACACTATCACACATGGATGGTCATTGGATCGAATATCGGCTCGATTAAGCAATTCATCTCATCGAGAATGGCTGAGTGGTACCAGACTTGCCTGTGAAGATAGTTGCAGCAGCTTGTACATTGGCTGGCCACCGCAATTCAATGCATAGGGTACAAATCCTTCAAAATCCTCTACGGTGCGCATCCCCAACCGGGATTGATTAATGCCAAAGATTTCAATGCTTCTTCTTCACAAAGATTTTACATGTGAGCTTCATCAATCCTACCCATGAAGAGATCATCGCAACCTTTTGAACCATTTCCACTCACTACGTGTACCAGCCGTCTTGGCCTTACCTAATTCGGACACCACTATGTAGGAGGTTTTTGCCAGCGTAATTACCGTGACTCGGCTAACTGCTCATTCTGAGTACGGAACCCAAGAAGAACCCGAACAATACTAATTGTCAGGATAGAGTACATGACCAGCTAGTGTCTAAAACTGCAACTGCGAACTTGGTGCCCTCCGCAACCAGTAATAACATTGATCCAAGCCAGCAAACGGGAGTCACTATATTTCAAATAGAAAGGTCCCTTAGAATTGACCGAAAACTTGACATTTAAGGTTAAAAGAAACCTGAACGAATCTATTTCCCACTTGTCAGCCAATTCAGACTTCATTAAACGCTACCGAAAACTGACTCTACGCTGACAGAGGGGAAACAGTAAAATCAGGGAGTCAATCAAGAGAAAATTCGGACCATAATATTAACCCTGGTAACCATCACGCAAACAGTAGATTTTGTATAAAAACCGTGAATTGAGAAGTTTGCTAAGTCCACATCCTCTTTCGATCCCGTCTCCTGTCGCACTATCTCAAAATAATTTGCGATGAAACAATCTAACCTTTTTGATGGATGGCCGAGCAACGAATGAAATAGGACAGCACTTGCAAGATTGATGTTATGAGATCGCTGTCGAAACCGCTCACAACCGTCTGTAATCGTATAAAAACATTATCGTGACTAAAGTATTAACACAATCAGATCATTACAAAAGCCGAATTAAGTACTGAACAAAACTCCAAATCTCGTCAAAATGATATGAAAAATAATCAGTAGTAATTTATTACCTTAGCCATGCGATGTACACTTCCAACACTGCCACTGATCTCCAAGTATTGGGCAATTTGTGCATTGTACGGCATATAAGGCGCTTCATCATTGAAAATCTGTGAAAGAGGCTGTTAGGGGAGGGATAGCATTCGTATCAACAGAGAGGAGAGAAGCTTTGAATAAAAAAAANNNAAAAAAGTTCTTAAGAAAAATTTCAAAACTGAACCGAGCCAACGAGCTGATTTTTCTCGTGCAGATGTGTTGGTGCGTGTAATGGTGGTGCTACACTGGCCACCCACGACATATGATGCATCAGAACCGTGGAAATCAAATTCGAAAGGAAGCTAAAAGAATAGGTTGAGGCTACAGAAGCATCATATAGTAATATGTCAACGGACCGAACTTCAAATGAAAAATAATTTTACAATTTCGTATGCTTGGTGTCCAGCTTTTCCACAAGTCGGGTCAGTTGTCTGCAGAAATCGGCCACAACTACATTCTCGTTATGGTCACGCTCCAACAGGCTCAGCCATACGGGATGACGAAGTCGAGGAGCATTATGAAGTTGACAAATCGATGAGCAAAAATCTTGCCAAGCCTAAATCACATGGATCTGAATTAACGTTAAAAATTATGATCAAAAGCACTTTATTTGTTAACATTCCACATCTAGAATTACAGTTTCCATTTAAGTGCATTTGGGAAATTCCTGCTACGGTATTTCATGCCTGCCGCACCCGAACCCAACAAATCCATAGTCCAAGAAGGTAACTCGTACCGTTTTATACCAGTAAAGACCGCATTTCGATTGTTTGCAAAGTCGTGGGTATGGAGCTGAGTCCCAAAAAGTAGGTAAGTCCAAGAGGGACTTAATTAATACTCTCAAGAACCTGTATGTAAACACAAGTCGTGCTGATTCTCCTTTGTGCCACCACGTAACTTGCTGGTCCCCCTTCGTGCCCCTCCACGACACTTGTTGCCTCCCCCTTGTACCTCCACGATACTATGTCACGTGCAGTTACCGTTGCGGCTGCAAACGGGTTGTCAAGGAAAGAGCATCGGGCGAGCGCCAGTGTGCGAGGTCAACTGACTTTTGAAATGAATAACGTATTCGTCTTTGTTCGCGATACTGTGGGACTTGTTGCGAACTGGAAAGCAAAGTTCAAGTTGATGTTCACTACATGCTGCCATTATTCAAACCTCCGCCTTATCGTTTCTAACCCTCGGAAAACAAGCATTCGGGAACAAAGAGGTTGTACTTTCCTCTGCTATATGTTTAGCTTAATGACTTTCGCGACTATAATTACCCAATAACGCCTCCTGCCAACCTTCTTCTCCGTCAACCCCTTTACCAAAGCAAACAAAATGCGCGTGCATTCCAACGACCACCCAACAACCTTAGTGTCATGCCGTGACTCCCAGACGGCGGCATACGAGTTGGCGCACGACCAGCTCGACCGTGTCACATGAGTGGCGACGACGGGGGGTGCTAAGATTCGACTTCGATGAACGGACGGTGTCACAGCGTCTAATTCGATTATAAACACACTGTTGTCCCTAAAAATTCCAGCTGAGCGCGCGACGATTTAACGTCTCGAACGATCACATCGCCCACGCGGTCAGAACGAACACTGGTTACAGCCGAAATATTGCTTTGGTGGTAGCGAAAATGTGCTGCATAAATGGCTCACGTAATTCATTGGAAAGTATCAAAATGCAAACAACGCACTTAAATCGCGCGATAATGCTGACATTCCTGCGGTTGGCGTCTGGTTAAAGAGCGTATAGCTGGCGGAGAACGTGCGATATATTCAAATCTATGCTGAATAATGCCGTCACCAGCACAATCACGTACATTGCGAGCGTCTACCATGACTGATCTGATGAACTATAGCAACGACTACACGGTGTTATTAGTCATATGAAAGATCACTCATACTTCGTCGGAACAAAAAAGTGGAAAGAATGGAAGTAGATGTCGGATTCGGGATGACAATAGACTAAAATCAACTTTCTCTGGCCTCTTTGAACCGCAACGATCACTTCATAGAAGTCTATAATTGCAGACCATCACTTACAGCACTTGGAAGGTTTCTCCTCAAACTGACGCTTTACCCTTCCCAAGTCAGCTACTTTACAGAACTTAGGTGTCGCCCTATCCACTTCTCCGAGCCTCAACCTCAGCCACCGCAGCGACAGATCGAATCCCCAAGAAGTAAACCTGTGCGGGTAAAACTTTGAGAAGTTACATGCAGATGTCTACCTCTTCAGAGGTCACTACGACGACTAAGACCAAGGCTTTGAAGAAGAGGAAGAGGTCGAAAGGTAAGCATTATAGAGTTGCATAATCTTGGGCAGCTCGAGCCAGTAGACCTACCTGGAGGACAAAGAACATACAGACCATTTTTGGGAGCTAACTTTATCTCAGAAGGAAACACTGACTGCTGACGTGAGAGAAAACTTTGAGAGGCAGGCAGAATCCATCTAGGGCCTCCTACTTCACTAACGCTGACGCTGTGCATTCAACAACCCCATAGGCGTTTACTCCACTTCCTTTAGCATCACGTCCTTCGTTAGCCATTTCGTGCATGCACTTGCGTTTGTTAATGCCGTGACGAAAGATGCCGAGAGAAATCTTTTACGACACATCGCCGCCGCTTTGCGTCAAAGACGACAGAGACCACAGCAATGATGAAACACTTTTGGAAAGCAATACAGCACGATCGAAGCTTCCGTTTCTTTGATTTCAATACGTAGCTGGCACCCACACACCTCCACACCCACCTACACACACCAACACATGAAAATTTATTGACGACGATAAAGATTCGGGTCAGTGCAAAATGCACCCACGGCATTCATCGGCACATATTAAAGCGAATTCTATTTGCGGGACAACATGAAAGCCTTCCAACTTTAACGGCAATCCGTACATGAAAAGCAGCCATCACGTCACCCTGCACAGAAGACAAACACATAATTAAAATTCTATTTACGGCCACCTCTATTTTTAGAAGATTGACTTTACGGACGCAGCGTCAGCAAAAGGTGGTTCACCAAGTTGTGAAGGAGCTATTCTGGAAACACCCTCTCGGCCTTTAAACATGGAATAATTTCTTTCTGACCATGATCAAATGTTTCGGCTTACAAAAAGGACCTATATCATATCACATTCTCGGAAAATAGTCGGGCCACTGTCGGTAAAAACGAAATTTCTCGAAAAGCTTCTCGAACAAAAACAACTTAATAAAATCACCTTATTAACATTAATGAAGAATGTTGTCGAATTTGCTGCAGCGCTTGTGATTCGCATCTCAAGACGAGACATTTCGGCTTCAACCAAGGGAATATGCTGTAAATAATAGGCGTTGACTTTTTTCTCAAAAAAAAAAAAAAAAAAAAAAAAAAAAAACATCTCGACGACGTTCAATGATGTGATTTCCGAACCTGGAAAAGAAAGTTCTTTTCTGCAGCGTTCAACATAATTCCCAGTCCAACTTGGCGGCCATGCTCATCATCCGTCTGAGAGCCACATGAGCTCAAACGAGAACGCGATTTCCATCTCGTCGACGGTGCTGAAATCAATTTCCTCGATTTTTCGAACTCTGTCTCTTTTGACCTTTTTGAATTGCCTTGAAAATAGTATGTGATCCAATTCATTAGGTTCCCAAAATGTAGCGCATGGAAATCTCCCCGGAACAACCCATTCACAGGGAAACATTTCCTGTTCAGATGATTAGAGCCAACGTGAAGCTGCGTCATTTATTTGCTGTACAGGTTAACGGCGATTAGCAATTTTGATTCTAAGCAAAATCCACTTTCAAAATAGACCCTTTAATGAAGCCGCCCCTTTTTTCTGCCCAGAATTTAACCGTTTATAGTTCTGTCCCCGCTTGTCAAGCTCATCAAGTGATTGAAGAAGATGGAGAAATTTCATCGGGTCTTCACTGGTCTCACACATGTCGGAAGGCTTTGAGATTCATTGCATTCATCAGCTATACTGATGTGGAGGGCATCCGTCCAATTACTGGCCATGGTCGGCTTAAAGCAGTCGCAGTATGCCCTAGTTAGTCAAGGAACGAAATGGGTTTAAACTCCTCATATCCCTACCCAGTTTGAAAGGGTGACTGTACTGGATGAGAAGCATCGTGATTCATCTCTCAATAACAAAATCTGACATATGACATCGTCTCGATTAGACTATCAAATTTCTCTGCACTACTTGTTTTGCCTTCATTCAAACAATCTGTCCTCATAACAATGGACTAAAAAGCTTTATAGGCGCCCCCACACAGCTTTGTCTGACACGTTGACCACGACAAGCTAAGGACACAATGGCCGAATTAGGGGAGCTGTGCTAATATGCACATCCACTGCTACCATGTGATCCGACACTAATCGCCGTGAACATCGTCGGCAAACACGACGTGGGATATGACGTTTCCTCCCACACACACACCCATTCGCGTCACTTTAACACGAGCTATTTTCACTAAATGCACCAATCCAATCTATTATACAGCATATTCATGCAAACACTCAAGACCACCGTACATGAACGTCACCAATAAATCAGCTGTTCTATTTTAAGCCCATNGGTGCTCAGGAACCCCATATACCTTGATTATGACATTTCTCACTTATCAGCCACAATAATACCTTCAAGAGAGGGGTACAAAGAGGATTTCGCCCTATAAAGAAGTGCTTACAGTCGTCAAAAAAAAAAAGCTTCTTACAAAACACCGTATTCCAATTAGGTCCGAACTTCTTTCAGCAAACCCCCTTTCATAAATTTTCATCGAATTTCAGATCACAAAGCGTTTGGTTATCCATGTTCCAGACAGTCCGAAGCTGTGCATACATACGTGGCGATTTTGATAATAATTACAATGGCACATGAAAAAAGATTTTCGAGCACTTTCTAGTGCGAACACTGAATCGACGCAGTGATTTTGCTTTTCAAAAATATGAAAATTAAAGAAAGCTTAAAAATGCTTTTGGAGATCTTCGAACCCCACAACTTCATACTCTGCACTTTCCGGACACGATCGAAAAATAATCGGATATGCGCCGATTCAAAATCGTAAACAAAATATATGAATATGTAAGGTAGTAGTACTCCAAGTCCATTTCAACTATTCCAGTCCTAGGAAAACCAGAGATTATTCGGTGCTGTCAGTAGTTCTCAGATAAAAACTCATGATCGACACATCTAGGCAAGTCTTTTAACACACTTCTATCACGAACCTCTCCCGGGAAGGCGCCATGATGCTCCCGATCAACGACTCTTATCAGCACTACCGTAGCATGCATAGCGTACTAGGGAACACTCGGGATTCCCCTGTTCCGTCATAATAACCCAACGCGACCGCGGCGAAATGACAATCTGCTATGAGATAGCTGCACCTGTTTGTACGGACGGCGAAGGAGCCAGCCGCACTACCAATTAAGCGAGTCTTTTACGGAGTAATTCAATCGGAACAGTCATCAGACACCTCTACAGGCGAACATAGGTTACGCCAAAGAAGTTACAGCATAGGTTAAGTTGTAAAATAAGAAACGCCCCGAATTTGCCTCATTAACTCGAGTTCAGTGTATTCAGTCAGTATAAACAGCAGGTGTAGTAGTAGACTTCAGTAATTAACCTGCTGATAAACAGAAACGCACTCGCCCGTATTAAAAACAGCTCTCTCAAGGGCTAACAACGGGTGGACGTGAGAGCCTATGAAGGGACGAGTTGGTAGGAAAGTCAGGAGAATACAACAACTCGGGAGCGGTAACTTGATGACACAGCAAAGTAGCAACATCACAACATGTTAAAAAAAGAATAGAAATGCCAGCTAGTCTGCTTGGTTAGTAAAATGTATATGAGTGTAGGAATCGCTGCGAAACGGACAGGAACGAATAATTGTAAAAGGTGCTTCCAGAGACGCAGGGAAAAATTGGACTTTTGAATATTTTCTTTCCAATACTATCTACTTGTTCCATATTCCAGCCTAGATCCTAGCGGGATAGAATAAACGTTTGGCTCCCGCCCAAAAAAATCGAGTGTACCATCAATATGCAGCCCTAGTACCTGGCTGGTAGTAAACGCTGCTCTTCGGACCCCACAGCATCAAGTATCAGTCATAACAACATAAACCATCAAAACAACTCTTGCATTCACCAGAACCCGATACTTCTTTGTACTACGCTATTTGAAAAGCAAACGCTGTTCTTTAGCTAAAAATCGGCCTACATGGTTACCAATCAAATGACAATGTGTAGAAGAGGAACAAAAAACCCACATTGCTCGCACAAGCTCGTCTTGTGTGACATCTGCAAACGGCGGTCACGCGACAATCTCGCAGCAGTCGGTGGAGAAAATGGACGAATCTCGTCAGAATCATCTTCCAGTTGCAGGCTGGTATTACGCACCTGTGGGTAACACTAGGTTAAAACGTACGAAAATGGGATCGCCACTAGAATGTACACTCACGCGCTTGAATGCTTCTGGTGGAGCTGTGGAGGAGATGCATCCAGGTCTGCTTTGATTGATTCCGTTCATACTGTCCATTGATCGAACAGTAATATACTGTGATTGTGATTCTGAGTCCGATGATTCCAATGACTCGGCATTCGCGCGCATCTCTCTGAATGTATTCATAATTTGGTCAACCGTCAGCTTAAAAACCATTCACCTTTTGGGAGCAGGTTACCCTACCCGGCTGAAAAAAAAAAACAAATAGAAATCGACTGTAATCAAACTTGGACACTACAAGGATAGAAAGAAATTATGTAGACATCAAAAGAACAAACCTTGAGCTAATTCGTGGTATAGCGAATACACGGCTAATGAGCAATCGCTGGTCTTCACTGAAGATACATAGATTTCTACTGATTTCAACGAATTCCAAATAATCATTACATACGTTATAGTGTGAATTTTAAACGAATCGCTGCCAATGGCTGTCGGCATTGCTCCAAAAAGCATTTGTGATATTGTCGAAATATCACGTCGACGTTTGAGAAGCTGAAAAGATTCGAATCTTCAAATAATTCATTACTCACGTGTAGGGCCCAAATATTATTCCAAGTTAGTGGGTTCATTGTCCAGCTCCTTCATTATGTGTAATTAAAATATCTTTGCTCCAAAGTTATTATTCATCATTACCGAGAAATGAGTGCTTTTTACAAGACATTATTCACTTCTAACTAGAGTGTAAAACGAAAGTATTCGAAACCCGAAAACTATTCGAAGATGAACGAATGAATAGCGTCTTTGTCAGAGAACGAGTAGGACGCAGCTCGGAAATACAGCGAAACTAGTTTAACCCTACTGCAAGAAGAAATCTATTCAGTGAAGACATATTTCCATTGAACCAGCTATTTTTACGACCTGCACCCTTGGCTCACACACACATAGAACACACTCCTCTCTCTTTTCTATATAACTCAGTGACAATCGCTTAAACATCAAAATAGACTGACTACATCGCAATACTCGTTCAACAATACTACGTAGTAATCCAATAACTAGTGACGGTTTTCCTATTAAATGTAACTTATAATCCTGTCCTTTTCCCTAAAACAAAAGAAAGTGCATTCGACCAACCGATAGCTATTTACACAAAGAAATCTGAAGAGCCAGATTGCAAAGGATGCAAAAACTGAAAACGCAACATCGCAAGCAAATTACTGTACTATGAAGTTTACACTGAAGGCCTCGTAAAAACCCCGGACTACGGCTAAGTTACCCGAATTACCCTTTTTTTAGAAAGGGTAAAGGGCGTAAGGTAAAATTTATGGCTTAGCGTACAAACCTGGAATTTTTTACAAGCTGAAAGTTGAGCATTCGCTGGAAGGATCCTACAACCAATCGGTACTATAGAAGCAGTGTCGAACAGTACTCGCTGTTCGGCTTCAATCAGTACCATCCGAAGCATATCGGGTCGAAGCTCTCGTTCACTAGTGGTACTACAAAGAAAAAATACCTCAGAGAATGCAAAGATGAAACGAAGTTTATACCTACCAAAAGGAGTCAAATACAGGACTTTTCGTCACAACGGAAGCGACTGAGTCTCGATGGGTAGGTGGCACAACCGTTGTCTTTGGTTGATGCCCATTTCGTTCACCTGGTGGTTGAGGCTGCACGAAAGTACTCGAGTCCGTCTTGCGTCGTTTTGAAGCAGGAAATATTGTTTTGATAAACGACATATTTCGAACCACCTCGGAGAATCCTGAATCAGGGAAACACACTAAGAAACACAAACACTAAGTATGGAGACATGCTTTGATTCAAGAATACCTAGCCTTAAACAGAAAACAGGAAGAAATTAGCTACTTGAACTTAGAAAACGATCGATAAAAGGACCACTTTAGATCATTATTTCATCAAGGGGCCATCGAGTGATTATAAAGAACTCAAGTGGTTAGCGAAGCAAGCCGATAGGCTGCTATCTGGTGGCAAGCAGAGTTGTGACGCTTCATTATTGCGCTCAAACAACGATAACGTAATGGCAGTGTGAAAAGGAAAAGTTTGAACAATATTAACATAGACAGAACAATACGAACAATATTAAGACTTACCAATACTAGAATCGGAATACTTTTTCTAAGAGTATCTGTGCCGGTCGCACATCTGCTCAGCCAAGACAGTACCTGGAAATGAAAATCTCAGCCATGATTGCAGGCATACGACAATCTACATGAATAACGGTTGTAATAAGACGTAATACTGAGAAGTGCGGTAATAATATCCAGGGATACAGAAAAATGTGCGATCAAAATGCAGCGACTGTTCCGATGGGAGAACGCAAGAATGCAAGATACGTTCCTCTACCCCACCCAGCTCCATCAGCTCGAAGTCCTATCAAGCAATTACACCGAGTGGGCGGAGCTAATCAAGAATGCACGAGGTTTGCAAGAAAAATTCGGCTCTTTGCGGAATCCCCTGGTCCGGGAAATCAATTCCTATTAAGAGGTGAGGANATGACAACAAGCAAAAGAAATCGAACACTACCGATAGTGGTACTCAAATCAGAAGCGAGCGTATTGCCGACGTAGGTGGTCGACGCCGATCAAAACAAAACCACTCGGCGCTTCTCGGCACAAAACGTCGGAGAATTCCGAAGCAGAGAACATCCGAAGACAACAGCGATGCGACCGCCGTCGTCCATGAAAAGCACACGTGAGCGGCGATGCACCATTTCGTTTCGCTCGCCGCTCATTATACTAACACGTGTCAAACGATGAGCTACAAGTACAACAGTGGCGCCGCTTTTTCGAGAACAGACAAACACCATCAACCAGCCATCATCTCCCCTCTTCTCTTCTCGTATCACAGTGCAACAACTGCCATGATCACGAGGAAGCATGGCGTACATCACGTCCGGGTAAAAAACGGCTGCCAAGGCCAGGATTAAGCTAATAGACCCGCAATCGATGCAGTCCAGAACACTCCTACATTGCAACGCAATTCCCAATTCTTCTGAAAACCCATTCTAAGCAAACAGTCAGTGAAACTCTGCAAGATACATTTCCATTCCGCTTAGAGAGCTCTCATGTAACAGAAGATGATATGGCATTAGGGTGCAGACAACAATGATCAGCCCTTGAAAGATCTCGAAATATGCCAATGTTAACGCTTACCATTCATAAAAATAAAAATCAAACAACGGGTAAATTTTAAATAATAATGTAGGAGCAGGCTTGGTCTAAGCGACATGGAGTCACAGCGACCATTAAAGAACCTCGGGTTCTCAATAAACTTCCAAATATGAACAACTCAAAAAAGAAAAAGATTTTTGGGTTGAATTTAATTCAGAACAACGATAATACTGGAGCCATTATCGTTTGCTTTTGAATTAATGATTTTGCACTTCCTGAGGTTACGCGTTAAAGGCCACAACATGAGTCGGCGGAAGCTAGACAAAACTGACAATTGCAAAGGCTACAAGATCAGAAGTATCCATTTTAGAGACGAGAAACAACTTTCAAACCAGCTTTCAGCAATGCGATCCTATCAGGATCCTTGCTACCAAGATAATTTCGAAAAAAGGGTGGCTCGAACTGATTTTTTAATGAACCCACCACGGAGTAAAGGGAGGGTAAAGGCAGGTATCGGGTTACTTTTATCAAAAGCAGCATCACGTCAAAGTCAGAAAGTAAAGGCTGGTAAAGGCAATAAAGGCTCATCAAATCAGTACCATGAAATATTCATAGGCATTTTTATATTAACACGTCTGCTGCAATTACGTAAAAGGTCAAAATATGCACTTCAACAGATTCATAATAATGTGCATATAAACCGTTTCGGCAAAATGGCACAGCAACGGAAATTCTCAAACATATCGGCGATATGAAAAAAGTGAAAAACATAGAAGATCGTAAAATAGATGCCGCATTTATAGAACGGCGACTTGACGGCATCTGAGAAATGCATCGAACAAAGTTCATGATGCCTGTCATTGAAAAATCATTTATGTACGCATTCACGCACTCTAAAGCTGGCAACAATAGCTTAGTGGAAGATAACAACACTGAATAGAAAAGACAATCTTCAAAGGCCGAAAGGATCAGAAGGTGCCGAACGGCCTTATGACTTGCGATCAAGCACCAACTGCCGCCCTGCCTAGCTGAAGACTTTCACGTATGACATCAGTGAATGATTTTGTCCTTGCAGAGTTCTTAGCGTTCAAAGGATTGCTTCACAACATCGATAGGGAGGGGCTGAATAAAACCAATGGCCGCTGGAACCAGTCATGTTTAAATTTTACGACAAAGGTAGTTACGTCAAGATACAGCCATAACTAAACTTTCGTGAACACCGTTGACACCCGCAGACAGAGAAGTTCAATAAATCAAATTCCTCCTGTCAAAACTCCTAACAAAATGATGACACACCTTGTAATAGTAGGTTTTACTAAAGAAGACAATCACGCAAAGTGCAGAGCTCAGAAAATATGAACTGGGAATTGTTTCCCGATCCCCTTTCACACCATACACCGGAAACAAAGAACACGACGTTATAAGATTGCATGATAATAAATTATGGCTCAAAATGTCTGCTGCATCAGTCAGTTTTTAGAGTATCATTCGTAAGTTGGTTAAATTCATGACCAATCTCCCACTTACGCACGGGCCCATATGACTGGTACTTGAAGTTGTCTAGACGCTGCACTTCGTGTCACATGACTTCCAAGATCTTCGGGAACGCATAACAGGAACCGAGGACGAGACTGCCCCGACTAGCCGTGCAGCCGTCGCCGTCCAAAGGTACATGCCCACGTAGAATCAAGTAAGAGAGGAGAAGATAATTACATGGGCTTGTAACTGACTGGCGACTGACACTTAGTGCGCAGTTCAAGTCTGAGATTATTACAGTAAGAAAAGGACTAGAGCAATTAACAAATGTAGTTATGCGGTAATATTTCTTCACACATCATAACACTTTAGCCCGGTGCACTGAGAAAATGCGAAAAAGCTGCCAAGACTAGGAAGCGACAACAACTGCTACTGGGACACAGCAGGCTTGACTTGGGACTCTCTGCACCTTTCGTACAGGTGATTAAGAGGTGATCCTTTCAAACAGGAACTCTGATTCTTGACCTGCGCTTCAACCATTGCCAGGTGAGGATTGTTCCAAAAGCGTAACAATAAGTATCGCCGATTCCTATCAAGTATTAAGCGAACATACATCTCATAGGAAATAAAAACCTATTTCTGACGAAAATGACGACTGGCGAGATTAACCTTACTGATAAAGAAAAAAGCCAAAACGAATAAAGCGTTAATCGTCAAATCACGTGCTCATTACGTAGGTAGAAAAGCAGCTGGGGAAAAACGACAAACAACCCCAACGTTGACGACAACGGTGAAAAGTTCTCCGGGAATTTATCGAAACTCTCGAAAAACACGAATCACACGGTCGGGATGGGTGAAATCAAACACACAAAACGCCTTTCTTGGTGACCGCTACGATGTTGACTAAAAAATAACGTCGTTGTTCGCTGAACGAGGAAAATCGGCACTGTCACAAACTCCGCTGTCAGAAGCCGTTCGCAAACAAGACAAATAGTTGCCTAATCCCCAGAAAACCAGCTGGTGCGTCAGCACTGACGGCAACAATGTTGCAAAAGATGCAGGATGCATGGATTGATGAAACACTGGAAAATGAGATAAGGAACAGGAAAGTTCAAACTGTAACTAAATGAAGCTGTGAGAGAAGTTGTTAGACGGTAGGTTCCCACTCACCCAAAGCAACTATGAGGGGAAGTAAATTCCGATTTGTGGAGTAATATTTGACAACAGAAAAGTCGTACAAGTATTTACTCCATTCCTAAGCTGCGCAGTAACCGATTCTCAGGCCCACCCAAAGACATCTGATCTATTGAGGTTGCTTTTTTTGCTGGGGAACACTCCATGCTATGCTATGAAGATCGAATCAAAACGTCACAATAGTAGTGAGAGCAAGTCTCGAAAACTTGCATAGCGTATCGCAACTGGCGCAACAACATTTTTGACACCGATGCGTAGCAAATACTCTGGATGCCTTTGAGAGTTTTGCTGGAGCGAAACTCACGCTGTGTCACTATTGCAAACAATTTAGGCCACTTAAACAAGGATAGCGTAAATGATAAAGCGTGACGAGAACAGAGCTTTTACATCATAAATGCCTTTTTTTTTTCGTGAAAACTTCTTATCGGAATTTTTCGCCCGAAAAATAACACCTGACTTCAAAGAAGCATGCTCTCTGAGATAATTTTTGGCATCCCATCTAATAATGAACAAAATAGAGACGGAAACTTCAAAGTGTCCGCTCTAGACAGTCGTTTCATACAAGAAACAGCGGCTGAGATCTAGATACCCATTCGCGAGTTGGTCCAAAGCTATTTCTATGAAGTAAAACGATAACAAAGTCTTCAGGAGTTCTTCCAATAAATCAGCTTTTGAGTTTTCCAAGAAAAATGTTCTTAATCACCTCTCTTCCAGGGCGGAACAAATCCTGAAAAAAGCCAAACACCCTGCTAATATGGTAACGCCAAGAAATACCGAATCACACCAAGGAGTAGTCCCAGGAGCAATGGCTATAAAATTATTTCACACAGTCAACAAATTTTCCGCTACGCCAACATTAAAAATTACTTTTAGATTGGAAAGACTTTACATCGAAGAGGCCATTTCTGAAGAAAGCCCATGTTCACGATGCCTCCTGA